GGGATGGGAGGGTAGGGAGCAAATTGTAGAGGCACTTGCATTTACAGATTTAGAATAATCTGTAAATTATTAGAATAACTTAAAATGTTCAGGCTTTGGTAACATGACGCACAAGACGACTCCACCCATCTCCAGCCCCTTAGCTTCATTCTCTCTCTCCCTTGGCTCCAAAAATAACAAACTGCCTGAAGATACCCAGATCCCCTACAGTTTCTGATTCCCTCTACCTGGAATACCTGCCCATGCTTGGCTAATACTTGCTCATTTTTTTTTTATCTTGGCTCAAGTGTTAGTCCACTTATTTTTTTAATTAATCAAAGGCATGACTACCAATTAGCATGGTGCTTCTTTTTTTTTTATGGCTACCACCAATTAACATATTTAAAAGGTCTGTACAGAGGCTGAATTGAAATGCTTCAGTGGGTAGCTCATTTGGTATTTGATAAATGGAACTTATCCCAGAACTATTTGTTACTTGTAGATCTCAGTTCCAGCTAGAGAGTATTCCTGGAGCCTTTAAATCATGTAGTAGGATATGCCAGGCTGTAAAGCAACAGGTGACTGCACTGGCTTCTTCCAAGGGCAACAGCTGAGAATGTGGCTCTAAAAACTGCCTAGACATGTGTCCTTTCTCGTAAGGGCTGAATGTGACTCTAACATTTAAGCCAATATGTCTCTCATTTTTTTTCCCCCTCTGAATGGGAAGGAAAGATTTTAGTCATTTTGAGTCACTTGCCCTTATAAAAGATTTTAGTTTATCAGTTCACAGAAATTGAGTTTTTTGTAAATTTCAGTGAATTCATATGAAGATTTGTTTCTCATCCTCCTTAATTTTGTTTTTCTCAATATGAAAACTTGACCTTTTGTATAGCTTTATTGGGATATGATTGAAAATAAACTGTACACATGTAAAATACGCAGTTTGCCAAGTTATGACATATGTCTACATACCTGAAACCATCCCCACCAACATATAGTGAACATAACCATCATTCTTCAATTTGCCCATGTCCTTTTGTGAGTGATCCTTCCCGATCCCCACTTTTGTCTCCACATAACTACTGAGCTGCTTCCTGTCACTAAATTAGTGTTCATTTCCTATAATTCTATATAAATGGAATCATAAATATGTACTTTGTTTCTGAATTCTTTCATTCACAATTATTTTGAGGTTCATCCATGTTACTGTATGTATTTTAGTGCTGATTAATAGTCTATTGTGTGAATTTCCTACAACTTTTTATCCATTCACACATTGATGGACATTTGGGTTGTATCTAGTTTTTTATTGGACCTATGGTTCCTTAGCTCTGGGGTAATACTTAGTGTAAAACAGCTGTGTTATGTGGTAGACACATGTTTAACTTTTTAAGAAACAGCCAAACTTTTTAAAAATGATTGTACCATTTTTACCTTCTTGCCAGTGGTATGAGTTCCATTTGCTTCTCACTCTCACCAACACTGATACAGTCAAATGGTCAGTTTTTTAAATTTCAGTAGTTTTGGTGGCTACATAGCTGTATCTCACTGTGGTATTATTTTGCATTTCCCTAATAAGCAATGATGTTGGACATCTTCCAGTGTGCTTATTTGCCGTCCATTTACCTTCATTGGTGAAATGTCGATTCAAATATTTTGCCCATATTTCAGTTGAGTTTCAGAAGTTCTTTATATATTCTGGATACAAATTCTTCGTCAGATACATACTTTGCAAAGATTTTCATTTAGTCTTCCAGTGGTTTGTCTTTTCATTCTCATAATGTCTTTCAAAGCAGTTTTAAATTTTGATGAAATCCAGTATCAATTCTTTCATGGGTTGTTCTTCCAGTGTTGTAGCCAGGGAATTTTTGACTGTCACAAGATTTTTGTCTATATTTTCTTCTAGAATTTTTATAGCTTTAGATTTATATTTGTGTCTGTGTTCCATTTAGAGTTAAGTTTATCTGTGGTATGAAGTATGGATCCACTTTTTATATATCTACAACAAGCTTTTCCAGCACCATCATTTGAAAAACTATTCTTTTTGGTAAAATTATTTTTTCTAATTATAGAAGTAAGACATTTGTAAAATATAGAAGAAAAATAAAGCCTGTATCTTGTAAATTTTGTACTATTCTTTTTGGTAAAATTATTTTTTCTAATTATAGAAGTAAGACATTTGTAAAATATAGAAGAAAAATAAAGCCTGTATCTTGTAAATTTTGTAAAAATAATTTACCAAAGAGTATTGTTGGGTGGGGGAAGGAGTAGTTCTAATTGTATCAACTTTACAAAATTGGAATGATATTAAATTCTATGTTCTACCTTTAAAAATTTTAGTATTGTAGCAGTGTTTTCCCATGTGGTTTAATATTCTTTAAATGCATGAATTTTAATTAGATAGATTCTATCATATAGATATATAATTTTATTAGACATAAGTTTTTGTTCTTAACTTTTGAACATGCTTAAATTTAAGGCTTTGTTTATCTTTTTTTTTTTTTTTTGCTTATAGTTTTAGAAATAAATTACCAGGACAGAATATATGAATATGTAAAAGGCTTTGATTACATATTTCTACAATGTATTCCAGAAAAGTTTCAACAGTTTATACTCCCACCAGCAAAAACTAGGAAGCTTAATTATTTATGGCAAATTTTGTTTGTGTAAAACCCTTAAGAATGCCCCCCCAGGGACCCCTCTCTTATTCTCCACAGTGTCTTTCTAACCTTCACTACTGTCCCCAGGCCAAGTGCCTTGCTCCTCCCTCACTCTTACCAGACAAATGACCCTTCTACTTGGCACTGGAAAAGTTAAGCAAACTGTATCCCTTGACTCTTTTACCAAAACACTTATCAGGATGAATATTCATCCCTCCTAGGTCAGTAAAGAAGCCCCCATTCTTACCTAAGAGGAAAACCTCTCCCTTTTCTCAGCTCCCAGTCTGCCCTGTCTTCCAGAATGCTGTCCTCTTCCCTTCCTCCTTATTCTCTGCACATAAACTCTCTTGTCTTTGGCACCTGGCATGCTGGGTTCCCCTTCAGCTACCATCCTACCATCTCTTTCAATGCAAAGCTTTTGGGAAGAAGGCATCCTTTTGCTGGAAACCATTTCCTGTCACTCAACTAGCAAAACATAATTTCGGTGTTGCATCTTCCTCCTCCTCCCATTCTCTCACTCCTCCTCATCCCACTCATACTCTTTGGTGCCAGAGTTCAGTGTCTTCTTCTCCAAATTCTGAACTCTATGCTACAATTGCAGGGGTATCCATAACTCTTAGCAGCTTTATCTTTTTTGGGGGGGTGGGGTACAGGGGGATTGCCATCTTTATTTTCCTTCTCTTTGAAGCTCTTTCTCTGCCTCCCCCTTTAAATGACTTGGTTTCATTTCATAGTGGTAGTCATTAGGCTCCAACACAAGATGGCAAAAAATATGGCTTGAATCTGTGAAAGTAAGCTATACTACTATTATTGCCTACCTTCCTTTCGTTTGCTAACACTGAAGGCACTTAAGTGGCCTTTCTTGTAGGAAATGCATGTTTTTGCTGATTTTCAGCTCTCTGCTTTGGACTACTCCAGCACCCATCTTCTGTGTCTCATTGGAATAAGCACTCACTCCCTGCCCCCTTTCCCCCATTACACGCTCTCTAAGTACTTATTCTCAGTGATTTTGACCTGTTCTGAGTTTTACAGTCACCCTGCTTCTCATCATTAGTCCATGAATGTATGGTGCCCTGGCCATTTGGGCTTCAGTGCCCTTATCCCATTTGAATCCTTACAGTGTCTATAATAAACTGTAAACACTCCAGCCAGTGTCAATTTATAATCTGTAGTAATCCCCAATTCTGATTTATGAGCTCTTCTAGCTAACTGGCATCCCCCCACCCCTTTATTCCCCTCTTTCTTTATTGTACATTCTTCAAGGCAAAATCCATAGTATTCTTTTCCTTTTCTGACCTTCTTTGGCACTTGTTTATACCATATATTGCTTTTACTATTGATAAGTCATTCTAGTACTGCTTTATGGCAGCGTTTATTTTATTTAATAGTGGTATTGCTTAATTTAGCATAAGGTATCAATCTCATGGTTACAACTAGAACTAGCTTGTATGCTTCTGGAGAACAGGACCCATGTCTGCATCCCCAGTAATTCAAATCAGTGCCATGTGTAATAGGTATTTGTAGTGTTCATTACATCAGTGTCAGCTATTATCTTAATAGAGTGGCAGCCACATATAACTGAACATTGACTCTCTAGAGAGATGATGCAGGTGACTTCTGCACAGAACTTCTGGCATCCCTTCTCTCTCTTGCTTAATGCCCATAGACGTACGTCTTCATTACCTGCACCACAGAATGAAGCTGAGGATAATCCAAAACACTTACTACTTCAGAATATATTTTAGAGTTTTTTGCATTTTGTTCGACTTGTCACCTGTGAATTCACTTTAAAATGAATAAGAGTCTCATCATAAAGCCTAGCCCAGGAGCTGGGCAACTATCTGTCTCCTTACTTTGCCTCTATTTTAGGGTGCTTGTGGTTTGCACCTTTTTCTGGGAACATCTGGCCTCAGGGAAACACTCCTAGGGCAGGATTTCTCCCTCAGCTATTGTTCAGAACAATATAATACACCTCAAAAGGTTCTTCTGAAAACTGTTATTGAGAAAATAGTGATGGTTTACTATATAAATGAAAATAAGCAGCAATTTTGAGAAATGGCAGTAGATTTAGAATATTTTACCAAGTAAAAATATGAACAATCACATTATGAAACTGTGATTCAGTGAGAAAATGTGTAAATCAAGGGTTACTGATTTGTTTACTTTTCATTTTTCAATGTACTATAAATATTTTTGTTTTATGTTTGTTTCTAACAGTATCTGAGATAGATTTCCCAGTAAAGATACAGTATAAAGAATATGAGTAGGTGGTAACAAATAAAAAACGATTTGGTTCAAATGCCATTAACCAGATTGGGTCTGACTTTTGGAATTTCAAACTAACTCTTCTTTTCTTTTTAGGTTGCCTCTTGGTGCTGCATTGGCTGTATTTGGCACCCAGAATGCTTCATTCTGTGATGGTCTATTAATAAGGTTACCTTGTAGAGTTTGGATCAGGGCCTCAGGTAGGTGGCTTTTTTCATTATATGGCATGACTTTCAAAGTAATTAATTATTTCAGGTTCTAAATAACATAAGGTGGAGCATTAAAAGCTTTGAAAAGCATGCCACATAATAAGCATGCCACTTACTATTATTTTAAGGTCTACCAATATATGTTGTGTTCAGCAGAATTTCATTAATAGTTATGGCCTAATGCAAGGATTGGAATATTGGCAAGAAACAGTCTACTTTGTGCACAAAATGCAAAACCGCTGTAAAAACTTATTTGTTCATCTTCCCCAAATAGCCCGCAGATGGACTCTTAAGTTCTTCCATCCCTGAGTCTTGCTCAGAGTGGTAGACTATCCCAAGTTACCATTATATCTCTTTCTGTCTATGGGGTAGGATCTGATTAACAATGGGCAGGTGAGGAAGGTAGCTATCTTTGCTGTAATGGGAAAGATGTTAGAATAAGAAACTCAGTGACACAACAGCAGTTTGCTAGCCCTGCTGGAAGGGCACAGAGGCATCTAGATTTCCCAACTTGTAGATGCAGCTCAGTGGCACAGAATCTAGGTCTAGCAATACTTGGAAATCCAGGCACACGTGGATTTGGCACCAGGTAAGTCTGTCAACAGGACCTCAAAAACAGGACTGAGATGTAGAGGACAGGACCCTCAGCACTTGGATGAGAAGACGTACAAACAAAAATGTCTGTGTCAAGGCCAGAGGATAGGCTCAAGGTCCTAAGATCCACCAGTGGCAGGCAGGGGCCCAGACCTGGAAAGTCACACATTTTGCACAAACAGAGCTTCATAATCAAATAAAAGGCATATGGAGTAATTTGGCTTAAATTCTCTTAATTACATCATTATATGGTGATAAAGCATTATAATCAAGGTAGCATAAAGTTTAGTCATTTGTTTATTATAAATATATCTTAAATATACTAAAAGTTGATGGTTTTTCAGCATTACAGGTTATGAATTTTTCTTTTTCTACTTTGCTATAGTTGTACTTGTTTTTAGTGAAGCTATTCTTTAGCAGCTAGGAAAAGAAAAAATGTCTCATTACTTTGACTTAGCCAACTACTTTTATACAGATTTTCTCCTTTTTGATTTCTCTTCTATCTGTAATCATGCAAATATTTACTCTTTTCAGTGTCATCCGCACACTTTAATTTCTCATGAAGAATATCCTCTTCAAGATTCCTTTTTCTTTTCTGTAAAATGTCATTGACTTTCCAGATAATAAATCGTAACCAATACAGATTTCTTATGCTTAAGGAGCTGTGGAATAGAACATTTGAAAGCAGAAATGTGCTGAAATCCCAGGCCACCTGAGTGCTGCCCGGTGCATCTCTGTGCTTGTTGGGCCACCTGTGGACCTCTGGGTACCATGCGCTCAAGTCTCCCTAGCTTTTGACACCACTGACAGGAACAGGATGGACTCCTCGGTGGTTGGGGTGTGACTTCTGAGCTTGCTGTAAACAGATTTGGGCCTTAAAAATCCCAAAACATGTTTACCTGCTTTTTTGGTTCCTTAAAGGGACTATAGTTACGTTCAACAAATACTTTCCAAATGTCCGTGACATGCCAGGGCACTGACAAGGTGTTGAGGGTAGAGGGATGAATAACAGTTTCTCCATAGATGAATTTAAAATCCCAGGGAGAGACAGGTAATTTCGAGGGCTTTCCAGTCTGTAATAGGAGTAAAAGGCTAAGAGTGGTAAAGTTTTGCACCCAAGTAAAATCGGTCAAGGAATATAATTTTCAATTTTCTTGTTGTGACAGCTGGTGGTATGCGTGGGTCCTCTGGAGATGGAGGTGGGGTGGCCACCCCTGAATGGGCATGTTTGTCTAGAACTGATCCTATTTACCTTTAACTATATAGGAATAAATAAAAGTGGTTGTTTGCAGAAGTGGTCTTGTCCTGGACAGCCACATAGGCGTAAATCATGGAGGACAGAGTGATGGCACCTAGAGAAGCTTACCTGGGTGGGGGTTGTTTTTCACAATATTGTTTAGTGCTACTTGAGATTTTGCACCACTTAACATAGTTATACCTTGTTGTATACCATAACACATGCCTAATCTTTGAACTGCACTTAAAGATGGTTTAAAACTAATTCTCTGCATGAGCTTTTATAACAAAGTAAAATTTCCTTTCCTCATTGCTTTTGTTTCAATGTGTACTATTTCCATCTTCCCATTTGAATTTATGCGCAGATTCAGTATGAGTGCTTGGAGAGTTCAAACATGAAACCCAGATTATGCTGTGTTTATAATTCTAACAACATGAGGCAGTTAATATAAATGAATAGACGCATGTCCTCCAAATGTTTGGGGTTCTTCAGTGTGATCATTTTTATAGTTGGTGTCAAGCATTTTTGTTGTAGCCCCAAGAATTTAAGGGTTCAGTGGTAACAGGAACTTTTAATTCATCACAATTTGGGAGATATCCAATTTTCAGATTGAGCTGACCTGTGAGTCCCCTGCATTGTGATCCTAGCCAGAGCACCAATATTTTGGAAATGCTTTATGCCACCACCACCCCCCAAAAAAACAGGAAAATCTGTAAAAATAAAGTTTTGATTAAGCAATCTTACTTTGTATTCAGATGTAATTACGATTCTTTGCTTTGTCAGGTGTCATTCCTTTTCTTTTGCACAATTCCTCTCTCATTTCCTGTTTGTAAGTACTGATTAGTTACCCAATGTGAAGAGAATGAAAATACTCTAGTGTACCACCCATCTGTGTTTTTTATTCTTTTATCTTTATAAGAATATACAGTCACAGGGAGAAAAATCTCCCACACAGTTGTGAAATGAAATGCTAACTTCTAAGTTATGGATCATAAAAGAGAGCTTTTAAAAGGGAATTAAAACTTCTTAACCTAACATGACATTATTTCTCCTTAAAAAATTAACAAAGGAAAATATTTCTGGATTGGAAGGTAAAATTCACTTGAATATTCCATCTTCATCAGATTGACTATTTGTTCTCTCTGGGTACTCTAGAAAATGAAATAAATAGCCACACCCAGGTTCCAGATAGCCCAAAAAGGAACATCCTAATTAGTACGGATAGTTGAACTCACATTGAGATTCATTGGTTTTGCCTTGGAATTCATTGACTTTTTCCTATTGGTTCTTTTTAAAAAAAATTTCTTTAATTCAGGTACATACACTAAAGCACAAAATCTTAGTGTACAGTTTGATGAATTTTAACATGTGTATACGTTTATGTAACCATAACCCAGATCAAGATATCAAACACCCTTTTGGTTCTTGAAAACAAATAGGTCTACTATTTCTCCTCACTTCTCTGGTGGCTTTTATTAGTAGTTTATTAAAGATAATGCTTTCTAAACATCAGTAAGGCTAAATTTTGTGGTAAATTTCTGAAGGGTGTGCCAGAACTGCTTTTTAATGAATTGCTGAAAACTTGAACATATCAAATACAAGTAATTCAAAACAGGTATCCTTTTTTTTTCTTTGTTTTAGTTTACTATGTATGACATCTGCTCTAGGAAAATAAATATGTAATTGTCAGTAGTTTGGGTATAAAATGAGTTATTTGGGTGCCTACCTACCTACTGCTGAGATGTGCGAGGTGCAGGCTCAACCCTGCCGCATCTCCTGCTCCTCAGTGGGGATGGCTGCTCCTCAGTGTTCTCTCAAAGCCTCTGCAGCCTCATCTAACCTAACTGTCCATCTACCCTCCCTGTTCTGTGCCAGGCATGGATGCAGGTACCACCTTAGAAATTTTTATTATGAATGGGAATCAAATTGATATTTTCTACTTGTAACTAATTGTTTGCTTAGCACCAAGATGAATCAGAGAAGGTGTTTTTTGAAGCAAGCATTTTAGACAGCTTCTATTATAATTGCTATTGTTTTAAACTAAGACTTTACAAATAGCTGCGAAATTTCAAAAATACCTTTCTAGTGGCTTATTTAGTCTTTTGCATCCCCTTGTATCCATAGTGTATTATTTTTTACTTGAATATAGGTGTGTTTTTTCTGCCTTGTGTCTGTTGTAGTGGTTGATCAAGCCCATAGTTCATTTCGTTGCTGGAATACATTTATCTTGCTCTAATTATTTTCAGTCATTCAACAAAATTTTACTTTTTTTTTATGGGAAACAGCAGTGAAAAAAACCGATAGACCTCCTGCCCCAATGCTGCCTATACTCCTTATTTTTAATTCTTAGATTTTTATAGTTGCAAGATATTTTTTCTTTATATTATGCATTAATAAGTGACTTTATAGACCTACAGAAATTGAATTCTGTAAAAATTTCCACATTATCATACAAGATCAAAATGTGTTCTAAATATGCTGTTGCCCTTTCTTCAAAATTGACTATCCTCAATTATGTTGTTATCTTGTAAATTTATTTCACATTATTCAAAGCTCTGTTGTGTTCTAGACACATAAGGTATTAACTGCTAAGTTTCCTTTTGCAACCTACATATTTACTCTATATGAAAAACATGTTTTAAGCAAATGTTGACTTTTTCTGAATTGTTTACTAATGGTGTTTTATGATTACCGTAAGGGAAAATAAAGCTGTTTCATGTCATTTGCCCTTAATTAGCAAAGTATATTTTGACTTTTAAATTAAATATGGAAGAATTGTTAATGCAGGTAAGTATTATAAAACTCATAGCTGATAGAGAAATGACTGTCAGAACTGTGGAATTTAAAGTATAGGAACAGTTTCAGTACAGGCCTGTTCTTTTGCCAGCATCCTCATAGGAATTTGTTTTAGTAGACCCTCTGATGTATGATTCATTTTTGCTTATTTTTCTCTGTGAGTCGCTGTTTTAAAATGTAGAGCATAGAAAGATAAGCCTGTGTGTGTGCACACATACAATATTCCCTTTAATTATTGTTTTTCTGTATGCAAAATTGCCCTAGGAAAAAATGTCTGTCCTGGTATCAGCAAAAACTGGAAGGGTGTTCAGAAGTGCAGTGTATCATCATCAGGGTGGTTTGAAATGGGTATATGTACATTTTCTGCTTTGTTTCACTATTCTTTAGATCAAGGCAAAGAAGAGCATTAATCAAGCACAGTAACCAATCTTTGATACATAAGAAGGAAAAACAGGAGTACACATTTTGTTGCAGTCTTTGCAGAATAGTAGTCGCAATGCTTTTTAAAAGTTTTTCTTAATCCTGTAAAAGAAAATACACAGATAATTTTTGTCAACATTTTAGGACTACATAATGCCAGCTATATATTTTTTTATGTTTATTGCATCAAGCCAAAATAATAATGAACTCTAACCAGATTCTAGTTTCCTTTGGGGAAATAATTAGCAGTCCTTTAAAATTATTTGGCCCCTCATAAGGACTCAGAATAGTTAGGTTGAATTTAGGGAAATTAACTATGACTTTGGAATTATGTTTTGTGATTAAATGAATGAAAATGATGGCTTTGTTATTTTATTTCAGAGGGTAAAATACGTAATGGGTGGTTTGTAGGCTATTATAATATTTCAAATCAAGATATGTAATTTTAAACTGTGTTGAAATACTTTGACTCTAAAGGATTTTTATTATAAATGCCATTGAACAGTAACCATAAATAAACATTTTTATAAATGTATTTGAGATTCAGTAAAATATTGATTAGGAAAAGATGAGAAAATATTTTAAAAGTTTACTTGCAAACTGTCTTTATTAAAAGAAGCTTTTTAGGTCTTAACTTTATTTCCTCTGGAGATCATGTTGGCAGCTCAAATAGAGAAAATAGACATTATCCCTTCTTCTTGTCTTTAAGTGTAATGGTAGAATTTATCCATTTACAAGGTGGTTTGCCAACCTGCCCTTCTAGAATGCAGCAGAATAAGACTGAAATAAGAGTTTTAGGGCATAAGCCCCATCCTGACCACAAATGCAATCAAGGTGTCCAGCTTCTGTGGGCCTCTCACCTTAAAATGGGGCTGATGTTAAGTGTGTCCACCTCTCAGGTCCATTGAGTTCCAGGGAGGTAATAGAGATGAAAACACCCTACACTTGTAAGGTATTTATATTATTAAAGTAACATAATACACAAAACAGGCTTTCATATTCTTAATTACCCCACCAAAACCTCAGTATGTGCCCTGGGCAAGTAAGTATTTACAAAGTTAATTTTATTATTTTGCAATTTTGATGTGCAGAATTCAGTTCTTCCATTTATGCATGTCCTGTGCTTTACAAAAGAATGGAGCTTTTGCTTTAACTTTTAAAATATCTTTTATTAGTCTAAATTTTTATTTTTCTTGCCTTTTAAACTATGAGAATAATGCTGCTTTCAAATATACCCTTAGTATTTTTGTAATGATGCTTGAATGTCCTCTATTAAATATTTTATGTATATATCCTTAAATTCTTAAAGTATGTGAAAATTTGATTTCAGGAAAATTAGATTTGTGTCTAAAATGTTAAGTAAAATTATTTCCATTTAACCTCTCATTGGTGAATCCTTTCATTATTGTATTTTAACTATTTGATTTATATTATTCCTCTCAAGTTCTTGCAATCATGATTTCTGATTGTTCATCTTCAAAATATTCAGAATTTACTAATCTCTCTGTGCCCTGTACAGTGTGATAATTCTAGTTTTTTTCTGCCTTTCAACCATTATTCTTTTGATATTTACTTATAAGTCAAGAATTATTAACAGATATTTTTTCTATGTCCTTAGTCCACTGAAGATCATGCTACTAATAGGCATTTTTGAGATTTTTTATGATTTTTCAACAATGATCTCCTAAAACCAAATGATGCTTTCTTCCTGATACCCTCTTCTCCTGTAGCAAACCTATGTTTAACTTCCCTTGCATGCTTTTGAAATCTAAAGAGCACGGACTTATTGCCACATTTCAGCAATCCTTGCAGCATTCTGAGAAATAAATTGGCAGGTGTGGCAGTTAACAAAAGTGTAGCTCAGAGAAGCCCAAGTCACACAGGTGTGTGCCATGGGGGCATGTGAGTGCTTTCATCAGGAGTCTGCTATTTGGTGAGGTTCCAATGCATTTTCTCCAAAAGACAACTAAGTTTGTCTCTTCCTAAACCTATAAGCTTCATGAAATTTTGATCAATTTGTTTTACAAATAGTACTTAATATCCACTTCTCTCAGTAGGCAAGCTAGATTTTTAAAACTTAAATTGAATTTGGGAAAAAAGTGGGGAGTCATTCAGCATCACAAAATGCCATTTATATAGGTAATACTGTTTTACTTTTTGTTTCTGCATTTATTTGCCCATGTAAATGTGCTTAGAACTAATAAAACTTTGCAATTGGTGAAAATTAATGCATGTCTCATCAGCAGAGTATGGAATGGAAGCATGTGCCATGAAATTGCAATTCTTTTATCCTTTATTTTCCATCATTTACATACTGTTTCCATTTAGAGTGTAGTCCATTCGTATTTTTTATTTCATAGATTGGTCAAAATGGGAAAGACTGGATTCTGCTCTCTTCTACGAAGAGTCAATGGGACTGGCTAAAATCAAGGTCTGAGGCTTTTTCCATCTGTCTTCAGGTATGCATTGAACAAAAATCCCTACAGTTCTCTGCATGTATCTTTAAAGTATTTGATTGATATGTGTATTATGAATGTAGACTTTGTTTGATGTTGAGCTCACAACCTTATATTTATCCTGTAGTTTTAAACGCACCTATAACTAATTTGAGTTTTGTTATACATTGAGATAAAAAAATATTATCAGCCATGAAAAAATTTCAGCTGGTCTTAGAAAAATGTAATATTTGAAATATGCAATTCTTCATTGCTCAGTATGTACATCCAAAGATAACAGAATTCATTTGTTACAACATATTGAGTATTAACAATTTTCATATAATTAAACATTTGTGTATTGTTTCATGGTGCACTGTTAATACATTTTTTTCAATAAGTTAGATGTTTTCATTTTTCTCAACTGGAATTTTCTGCCCATTATGGTTGGATCTCACAGCACAATAATTACAAATATGACCAGTCTTTGAAATGTTTTCAGATATTTTATACAGGGATTTAAGTACTTTGCATTCCATATTGATTTTACAGTTGAAAAATTTATCAGCTTGTTCCCCAATGTTCTAAATAGCTTCATGAAAGCATCATGTTAGGAAAATGAATAGTCAAAATTACTTTTTTCCTGCCTTGGCAGAATGCTTTATACCAATTTACAGTGTCATTACTGGTTACAGCAGAATAGCTGTTTAGCTGTTTCTGAGAAAGGTGGAGAAGCTGTCTCTTGAATGAGAATATAATAGGAAAAGAACAAGTCCTTGAGATTCAGAAAATCTAAAACCAGAGGGAACATCTTTTGTTAGCATTTTAGTAATGTCACTTGGAATTAATTGTGTTACTCTCACTGTCCAACTGCAAAGGAGACTTAGACAATGTGAACAACATGAAGGAAGGCCTACTGCATCTACCTGCTCGTGAAGAAAAGACACATGAACCAAACTCTGATTGCCTTACCCTTAAAATGCTTTACCTTTTAATCAAATGAGTGGATAGTTGCTTATTTTGTCTGTTTAGTGATAGCCTCTACATTAAAGTACAATAGGATCTATTGTAATACACGTTTAATTTTACAAAAGTAGAAGTTAAAGCCCCTGCTAAAGTATAACTGGAATCTGCCAAAGTCGGTATCTACTTCTATCTTGTGAAGGCAAATAAGTGTCTGTCTGGTGCCAAAATGCAAACGATATGCAGAAATTGGTTTTGGAGTTTTTTCTGAGTACATAATAAAGTGAGAAATCCAATCATCTAGTAGTTGGTAATAGTCATTTAGTCACATTCAGTTTTTAATTTAAAAGTTAGATCTTTCTGAAAGAGGTTTCAGTCATTATTATTTGTGTCTCTGAAAGTACATTGCCAGACCAGCATTCATGAACCTTGAGGAATCATGTAACTCATATCAACTGGATCTTTGGGGAGCTGATTTCTTACTCTGAGAAACAGAGTTAATATTTACTGTCTCTTGTACATGAATTTCAAAGATTTCAATTAATTTAAAACTTTTTGTTTAAGTAGACATACTCTTTGCCATGAAATATGTATATTCTCTCTCACAGCACTGATAGCGTATTGAATCTCTGACATACCTTTTTACAATCTGAAACATCTCTATATCGATGTGTCCTTTGCACAGGTGTTGTACTCTAAGCCGAAAGTCCCAGTGGTGTGCTTCACGGAGGTATAAAAGATTGATGTGCTCAGCTCTTGGGAGGCCTGATGACTGGCTCATTCCCTAATCCCAGTGTGCCCAAAGAACAGAATATTTTCTATTATGTGAAAGGTGGTGAGGCAAATTACTTCAACCAAATCCTTCCTCCCAGATGACAAGGAGTCACGATCCCCACCTAACATAACACAAGAAGGTTTTACCATTTCAAGAATGTAGTATATTTGTTGCCAGATGAATCGTTTCTACTCTTGTCTCAGAACTCCCTCTGTGTGTGATGACACTGGTATAAAGAGCAAATTTTCTCTTTGGGTGGTACATTCAACTCTTTCAGGCCTCCAGTGTCTGTGCATTAAGTAAGTACTTATTCCATGAACTGATGGTTCACAGGGTGCCTAAAAGAGTTTTCAGTTGCTTACCTCTATTTTCCTAGAATACAAAGTGTGACTGAAGCCGACTTGCACAAATTAAAATGATTTTTAGACATTAAAATATTAGCAGAAACATTTTTATGTTTTTAGCCATACCTGTGTTCTCTAGTCTCTTCTAAAAATTGAAGCTTAATTGCGCCACTTTTTAGCGTCATGTTTTAATGCTTGCTGAGAGTTTCCAAATCACAACTGCTTTCCCCTAAGTACAGCATGTCAGGTGGAATTTCAGATGTACGAACTGTTCATTCTGAGCAATGCATTAATACGTATTTTGACAAATATAAAGAAACCTACAGATATTACAATAGACCAGCTGAACCCATTTTATGGTTTCTTTTTTAATTCAAAAGCATCACATAGCAAATAAAACTTTTAAAAATTAAATTTAGTTACAAACTAGTTGTTTCTTATTTTTTTTTCCAGTCCCTTTTTGCTTTCTTTTACGACCACATGAAACTTGAGAAGCCACCTAAAGCTAAATCATTTAGTGGAGTTGGGCAGTTCCCAAGTGTCCAACAAGAAGGCCTGGTTTAGGCTGCGATGGCCACTGTCATTCCTGGTGATTTGTCAGAAGTAAGAGATACCCAGAAAGTCCCTTCAGGGAAACGTAAGCGTGGTGAAACCAAACCAAGAAAAAACTTTCCTTGCCAACTGTGTGACAAGGCCTTTAACAGTGTTGAGAAATTAAAGGTTCACTCCTACTCTCACACAGGAGAGAGGCCCTACAAGTGCATACAACAAGACTGCACCAAGGCCTTTGTTTCTAAGTACAAATTACAAAGGTATTAAACTCTATTTGTCTTTCAGATTATATTTTCTATTATGTTGGCCGTTTGAAGCCATTGTAAACGTTTTTATTTGTATACACATTCTTTAGCTGATTTGCAGAGAGGAAATGTTAAGTAGATTAGACATTGGCTAGTTTTAGTATTTTAAATCACATACTTTTATGCATTAGTGTCTTTGGACTTGATTAAATGAAATGCTTAATGAGAGTAGAATTTCCATTTGTGCAAAGAAATTACAAGAAAGTAGGACATTTACATGAGTATTCAGTCTTGCTCATTTGCTTTTGTATTAATAGCTAAAAACCAGCGAAAACTAAAGTGGCAACTTAAATGGCTCAAGTTCTGCAGTATTTAGGTGTATTAACTATCCTTGTAGTATATGTTAAGTTAAAAAGTGTCCATTATTAGGGAAAGTCTGTTTTAGCATAGTAGTTTAGCTTCCATTTGAAAAGTGAATGCACACCGTCTTTGTCATGGTACTTACAGAATATGTCTGTGTTTGAAGGCACATGGCTACTCACTCTCCTGAGAAAACCCACAAGTGTAATTATTGTGAGAAAATGTTTCACCGGAAAGATCATTTGAAGAATCACCTGCATACACATGACCCTAACAAAGAGACATTTAAGTGTGAAGAATGTGGCAAGAACTACAACACCAAGCTTGGGTTCAAGCGTCACTTGGCCTTGCATGCTGCAACAAGTGGTGACCTCACCTGCAAGGTCTGTTTGCAGACTTTCGAAAGCACAGGAGTGCTTCTGGAGCACCTTAAATCTCATGCAGGCAAGTCGTCTGGTGGGGTTAAAGAAAAGAAGCACCAGTGCGAGCATTGTGATCGCCGGTTCTACACCCGGAAAGATGTCCGGAGACATATGGTGGTGCACACTGGAAGAAAGGACTTCCTCTGTCAGTATTGTGCACAGAGATTTGGGCGAAAGGATCACTTGACCCGACACATGAAGAAGAGTCACAATCAAGAACTGCTGAAGGTCAAAACAGAACCGGTGGACTTTCTGGATCCATTCACCTGCAATGTGTCTGTGCCTATAAAAGATGAGCTCCTTCCGGTGATGTCCTTACCTTCCAGTGAACTGTTATCAAAGCCATTCACAAACACTCTGCAGTTAAACCTCTATAACACTCCATTTCAGTCGATGCAGAGCTCGGGATCTGCCCACCAAATGATCACAACTTTACCTTTGGGAATGACGTGCCCAATAGATATGGATGCTGTTCATCCTTCTCACCACCTTTCTTTCAAATACCCATTCAGTTCTACCTCATATGCAATTTCTATTCCTGAAAAAGAACAGCCACTAAAGGGGGAAATTGAGAGTTATCTGATGGAGCTACAAGGTGGCATGCCGTCTTCGTCCCAGGATTCTCAAGCATCGTCATCTAAACTAGGGTTGGATCCTCAGATTGGGTCCCTCGATGATGGTGCAGGGGACCTCTCCCTGTCAAAAAGCTCCATTTCTATCAGTGACCCTCTAAACACACCAGCATTGGATTTTTCTCAGTTGTTTAATTTCATACCATTAAATGGCCCTCCCTATAATCCTATATCAGTAGGGAGCCTTGGAATGAGTTATTCCCAAGATGAAGCACATTCTTCTATGTCTCAGCTACCCCCACAGACCCAGGATCTTCAGGATCCTGCGAACACTATCGGGCTGGGGTCCCTGCACTCACTGTCAGCAGCTTTCACCAGTAGTCTGAGCACAAGCACCACCCTTCCACGTTTCCATCAAGCTTTCCAGTAGGGTTCGAGACGTGGATTTATTACAAAAATGTATGTGTAGCCCTGCCTTAGATGACCATTTTTATTTTAGTGCCTGCTTTAAGACAGTATAAAAACTTCTGCTTTTGTATAGTACCAGTTTTCATTAAGCCAGTATAAAATAGAGACTAGCTTTTTAAGTGAACTTTGGAACCTGTTATGTTTACCTGGGTATTTTGTCCTGATTCACTGCCAATTGTCAAATTTTAAGATTTTTTTTTTTTTGTATAGGAAAACCATTATTGTTAGTAAAGTCTTACAAAATTCATGTTCAGATTACCTTGAGATCTTAAATTTTTCATTTTTGTCCCACAACAATGGCTGTACCTTTTGACATTTGGCTCATTAAAAAATTTGTAGTAGAATATAAGTTTTCTAAAATATATATGAATAACCCAAGAATTCTTAAATTTTTACTAGCCTCTTAAGTGGATTTATAAGGAAGTGTTTCAAATGAATTAAGAATCCAGTTGGGGAGATAACACATGCCTGTTAGCTATACCATAATTTCAGGTCAGTATATTTTGAAGACTTGCTATTGTCTGGCTCAAATATCTGCCATCATTATTATGCACATATAAGGAAAACAAAACCTAAACACAAAGCACCAGTATTTACAGCAAAGAGACTCCTAGTATGGTGACACGGCATTCCATTTTACTTAATAGCCTCAAATTAATATGCAGGATATTTTCCCACGTTTCCACCTTCTTAACTTGCTCTGTTTCCATTTAATAATACTAATCGTGTATGGCATTGGAGTCTTCAGAGTCAGTAGATAGATCTCTTTAATCTTTTTCCACCTTTCATGGCCAAAGGGTGGGTCAAGTGCAGCCAGCAATTTTATTTTGGTTGTTAGTCCAGAATGTAGAGAGAGCCATTGTGGAACACAGATGCTAAGTGTGTTTATCCCAGAGGGGACTGTCTCAGCTTACCTGGTGTGGTAGACGCCTAAGCAGAAAGATGTGAAATACACAGTTCAACTTGGGATCTTGTCTAGGGATCATGTCCCCTGTTGTCAGGGTTGAAAACTAGACTCTAGAAGTAAAGTAAAAGCATATCGCTCACGTCACTTCTTGCTGAATTTGATACAATTTTCTTTCCCTTAAGAGCCCAAAGCAGAAAACAAAACAGTCCTGCCCCCATGGTATCTTTCTTACTCAGTGTTAATTCATCTTTCCTTGCTATTTTCGGATGGAGACTTTAAAGTTAACTGCATTAGAAAACTATGTGAGGAATGACTACAAAGGCTTAAGTAACTGAAAATATATACAGTAAAACCCCACTTTTACACATCTGTGGGAAATGGGAATGTTGCAAATAAGTTGAATTTGTGGAGGGGGAAAAGTAAAGCAGAACAAGCACTATCTTAGTTAATGTGAAAGTAACAATCAAAGAGTATTGTGTTCACTGAATAAAACGGTTATGGGCTTTCCTCATGTTAGACAACCGCCATAATCTCAAAGGTCAAATTATATTTTTCTAAATACCGGTTGAGATAAGAAGCATATCTATTAAGCACTTGTTAACACCTTATTTTGGGACCGTCTGTTCGGGAGGGTATGAGGGGGGAAGGTTTATAGAAGAGTATATATCTCTTTAAAAGAAAATATTTCTGAGCACTCATTAGCCCTATATGAAAGCTTCTTTTCCCTTTTATAGGGCCAATTATCACTGCAGATTGCAATGTTTACCAAGTATTTCTAAAAATGAGTGCAGATTACTGAATATAATACATTATTTAAAAATATTTGGGAGTAGTATAATTTGTGAAGAAATGTAAATTGTAATAATGTAAATGGGGGTTTCACTATATATATTATATATATATATATATATACACACACACAGACACATATATCGCACTTCATAGAATCAGAGTTGCTCTCTTGAGGAGCTTTGCCTCCTGATATTTTATCATGCTCCTATTTTTTTAAATCCTAGGAGCAGTAGTTTTTATACTTATGTATTTAAATTTTATTATTAAAAATTACATTTTATAAGAAAGTGTGTTCCAAAGGCATTAAAATTATATATGTTAATAAGGAAATACATTTTTAAAATTTTCAAATTGCTCCTAAGCTTTTGATTAGGAGAATATTTGCTCTGAAAGTAGGCTTTTAGCTCTGCTTTATTACTGCTTCCTTTAGTTTCTATGAAACAGATTGCTTACTTAAATCATTAGTTGAATGATTAGTGTTCAATATTGCTTAAATCACCATTTAAAAAAAAATTGGTGACAGAGCACAAATAGAAAACCTATTTTTAAATAGAAATCACAAATACAAGTGTGGAAGCACTACTTTATTTTGTCTAAAATTTGCTTAAGGAGAAGTCAAAGTAATGAACCAAGACAGTGGCCTTCATAGGCTGTATTTCACTGCTAATAAAAAATTTAAAAGGGAGTACCAGGATTTACTAAACAAAAACATTTTGAAAGTGGGGAATAGCGCCATATATGTATATATTTTTTTAGCCTAATTCTCTGCCCTGCATGGAATTCAGATACATGGAGGCACATCTTTCAGGGCATCAGTGTTAAAATTGTGGAGTCTTAATTTTCATACATACACCTCTTTGCCTGATGCTGCCCCACAGACTTGAAATAACACTTCCAAGTAAGAGGGAATTCAGCTAATTTGTTTTTTAAACTGATTGTACTGGTCACTAAGCCCTTTTTGAGAGAATTTTTATCAAACATGAGGCAGATTCATTAATCTTGATTGCAAAATGTTCTAACAAGGGTGTAACACAGAACTGGCTTTTATTTTTTCTAGAAGGAAATTGACATTAGTTTTTATGTCAGCTGGATGCGATTAAAAATAATTATTGCCAATGCTGTTTTCATTCTTCAGTGGCCAGAATCACCATCTTTGAAATTTCTAGTAGTGCCTTTGCTGATTAAAATAAAAAAAGGATTATCATTAAGTAAAAATTAGAATCGGGACCTCAGACAAGATTTTGAACCTCATTCAGTTTGAACTTCTATGTGTATGTACCAGTTAGATCACCAGACATGGAAGCATGCGTGTGGAAGAATTGTGGCACTCACTGTAAGCAATATTATCCATGGGTATATGCAAATATCCTTATAGTTACTGGTCACTGTTAAAATTTGCATTTTAAAACCCTATTACCAAGTTCAGTTTTTCAAGACTTCAGTTGTCCTGGCTGGTCATGCACCATTCTTTGTGCAACTTTTAAATTCCATTTAGTGTTTCTTCCAAGCTGTGTATTTTTGCCTATTTGTTGCTTGTGCTTTATTATTCTTAGTCAATTGTGGAATATAGTGATATATTGTGTTAATTTGGGCAGTAGCGGTTTTTAAAAACCATATACTGACTGAAACATGAGCCAGAGCTGATTGCTTTATTAAGCTAATAATGAATGTTAAAGAGTACATATTTTCAGGATCATTCATCTAGTAAGCAATACATATATAGGCCAATATTTTTTTAAAAAATAGAGCTTGGTCAACCTCTATACTACACATATTACAAGATATAGCACTTTCAAAATGAATCTAAACCTTTACAGAAACTTTCTTATAGGTTATGCCTTTTATTTTAAGACTTATTATAATTTGTTTCAAGTGCCATTAGATGATATATATGTAGACCTTTGATATATAATGCTTTGTGTTCAGAAATGGTAGATGGTATTTTAAACAGGTACATTTTTACAGTGTTTTCTTATCAATTTGCTATATTGCACAGGATCAGTGTGTGTCTTTTCATAAGGTTTTACAATGGTTTATTTTTTTACAAGGTTTACGTGTCTCAAAACACACTGTCTTCCCACTACGTAAATTAAAAAATACCAGTTCACCCAAGTTGCTTCTAGCCTACTGAGATCCATCTGACATTGGAGGAGATCTTCTAAATGTCGAATATTCCTCATTAGCAATGGCAGACTTATCTCTGACAAATGAGTGCCTAGGTTGGCTTTGTCTTATTTTTCTCACTCTGTGTCAGTAACGACGTCTGCAACACAGATCATCTGTTGTGGTTCAATAGATCCACATAAGTTGTGTTGCGTAGTTTCATGCTAAAAACTCATCCTGAGCTCCTTTTTGATCACATAAAACAAAATACTATCAACATTGGCAAAGGCATGCTTACATCACCCCTAGGCCCTTCTACAACATTCTCAGCCCTCTGAGGACGGAAGGCAGTGTCTTTTGGTAAGTTCTCTAGCTCTAGAAATGACAGAACTATTGCTAATGTATGAAACACATTGTATAAGCTCAGTGGTACAGATGAACCAGAATGAATGTTTATCTTCTCAGAAACACTCCCTCAATATTATTTTGGATCATGCTGCTAATGTAACTTGGGATACAACTCTTCATGGTGCTACAAACTTCTCTGTCTCGTTCAGTCATATTTTTTTATCCATAGGAAATAAAGGACTACATTAGGTGTAAAGGTGTACAATATATTTTTATACTGTGACTTAATTTGTCGTTAACAAACTTTTACACCACCCACCACAATGTATTCATGTGCACTTGCAAAAGGAAATCTTGGACATGCAAATGTTACCAGAACAAACCCAGCTTTTATCCACAAGGTGACTCAAAATGAAAAGTGGGCTTAATAATATGGTTTGGAGTGAAGAACATGCTGTATGTTACTAACAGGCCTTTGAATTTAACAAAAACTGGGAATCCATTAGGAAATGGATTGCATCATGCCTGAACATAAGCTGGACTGCTGAAATTGTATTTTTAGCTGATGAAAAAGTGTTTGGACTAGTACTCTAAATATGTTCTAATGATAAAGTTTTGAGTCAAAATAGAAAAGAAAAAAATCTGCATTCCAGGCTGAATTTTGTATATTTTTATTGCATTTAAAATCGCTATTCTGTGATATTGGGAAATCAAGTGGCTTATCATGTATATCATGTACTTAAAATGTATTCACAAACTACTGTTGTATTTGTATAAAATATAGACAAAGATCGTATTTTTTGTGTGTGTATAAGCTCTGTAATATAGCAATCACATTATTAAGCTGCAGTGATACCACATTTTAAAAATCCACATCCAAAGAAGCAGGCTATTTATTGTCCAGTTACCCAGATATAAAATATTAATTTGCTGCTAATTAAACAATAGTACTGCAGCTTCTTGTGGCCTACAGTGTTATGTTTGCTGTAAGAAAAAGATACGTGAACTCCACAAAATATATGAATAAAATTATAGAATGACTTTAGATAATGTAGATCTTACTGAAATTTTAATAGATGATAAATTTCTATTTGAATTTTATCTTTCCTTCACTTTGAATTTTAAATATTTTCTCATTTGATAAATGCAAGATTCTCATAGCTGGCTCTAGGACAAATCTTTGTTGTCAAAATGAAATGTAAAGTTCTAGGGTTTCTTTTGTTTTAAAACTTGTACCTTTAAAGGAAGGATAGAAATTGTAAATAAAAAAGTAAAAACATCATGCATCAAAACTTTAATCCAGGTGAGAATTCAAAAAAGAATTCCAAAAAGGCTGCTAGAATGTATAAACTGATAGTTTCTTGTTCATGTGAGATAAAATTGGCATTAAGCATTCCTTTACCACTTACTGTCAGTACTATAAATCATCCCTTTACAAGTTCCCTTTGAGGTGTTTGTCTAACATTTTTGCTGAAAACCCTCCCTTGACAGTTCATCTGGACCAAAGAAATGAGCGTGCATCATTTCATCAAAAACCCATCAGTTCAGCAGGCAGTGATGCAGCTTCAGAAAGAGAGAGATTAATTCTGAAAATCCAGTTAATTGTTCAGGAACCAATTGCAGAAACAATTTTTTATGTACTTCATAGCACGTCTTTCAGTATAATGCGAAAATTCCTTCTTTACCTGTGACTTCCCTCTTTTGAGGCTCCCCTACTCTCAGAGAGGTAAAGAAAATGAAGAGTTATTCCAAAGCTGGCAATTCCTCTTTTCACATGCTTAATTCGAACAAATCTTAAAGTACTTCTTTGTGCTTAGCATTAATTCTAAATACATTTTTATTTCAATTCATGCGTATGAAATATTTTAAGGACTGTTTATAGAAGGAAGATGTTTTTGCTTTTTATAGTTAGAATATGCTGAAAAAGTATGCTTGGAATTAGTACACTGAAGGTGTGAACTCCCTATGTAGAAGTAATTAGAAATGCAGCTTGCTTATTGCAGAATAGACCCAATGGGACCTAAAGACGTTTCCTTTGTGCAGTTAAATGAAAACTTTATACTTATGGTTTACCACTAAGGGGAGGGAAAAATTCAGTCTGGCTGTAGACAGCTTGAGTTGTGCTGTTACTTCCTAAATCGACTATTTCTTAAGCAAAAGGCACCACTTTGTGCTAAGTCCTATCAAGAAATCAGCTTTATAGAAAGAAGTGTTTCCTGACCAAGCCTCCGACTGAAGATGGCAGCAGCATTGCAACTGTGTGAAAGCCTAAATACTATACTGAGCCATGCCCAGTGAGCCTGTGCCAGAGATCAAAAAATTATCAGTTATTGGTAGTTTCAGACTAAAACTAAAACAAAACAAACCCAGAATAAAGACCTGCATTCTATTTGATACAGAGGCTGATAAATAATCTACTCTGAAGTTGTTTTGACTCATAGTATAATGGTTTTATGTGTCAACTTGGCTAGGTTGTGGTACCCAGACTTTGTGTCCAGTCCAGTCAAACACCAGTCTGGATGTTGCTGTGAAGTTATTTGTTAGATGTGATTAACACTTAACATTATCAGTTGATTTTAAATAAAACATTACCTTCTGTAATGTGGATAGGCCTCATCCAATCAGTGGAAGGCTTTGAGAGAAAAGACTGTTTTCCTGAGCTAGAAGGAATTCTGCCTCCAGGCCGTCTTTGGGCTCAGCTTGTAACATTAGCTCTTCACTGGGTCTCCAGCCTATTGGCCTGCTCATGGATTTCAATTTCCATGATCACATGAGCTAATTTCTTACAGTAAATATCTCTATATATATTTATATACACATCCTATTGGTTCTGTCTCTCTGGAGAATCCTAAGCTCCTTTCAACAACTGTCATTCTTTAGGTGTTGGTTTTACCTTGAAGGAAGTGGAAACATTTTTCTTGTGATATACTGGTATGGCAAAAAACATATTTCCAGGTTCAGACTGCTCTAGAAGACAAATGGAAAAAGCCCAGTGCTTAATGGAGATTATATTCTTAAAGGAGGTCTCAGACTCTCCTTTACTATACTGTTATTTTGCTGCCATTATTGCAGATGAAAATGGTTTTCTCCTAAAGAATGTAAACAGATTAATCTTGCTTTACTCCACAGAGTAAATATCAATCAATATACTTGAGATATAGACCAATATTTAGTATACATGCATAACTGGAAACATTTGTAAATTGAATCTTTTTTGGAAACAGGAAGACAGTCCATTTATGACAATACCTCAGTCAAGGGTCTGGGGCTGAAGTAATGAGAGTCAGAAGTGTAATGGCTCCGCACATAATCTATAGAAGTTTTCCATGTTATATTAGAGTTTTTGCAAAGGTTTAACTTTTGGTTTATTCTTTCTGTAGTTAGAGAACTTTAATCTCTTTCTTGGGGTCACTTTCAAAGGGTTAGTGCAGTCAGTCTTACCAGAATTATGTTGATAATTTACTGTTTCTAGAAATACATAATTGATCTGTTATTAGTATTCACACACTGTGACATTTCAAATAGACTCCTGTAACCAGATTTTCATGCCCTAGGAATGTTTATTGTACAATTAGGTTAATAGCCTATGCCATGCCCTACTTAGGATTTAAGGTATGCCAGCTTTTCCCACTTCCGAATTAGTGGCTATAACAAATACACACCCTTGTCAGTATCTTGAAGGCTATTTTGTTTAAAGACTTCAGGCAAATGAATTCATCTCATCCCCACTTTTCTGTATTTAATTACCTTTTGCAGGAGTAAATTGTTACTTACTGTTTTATTTTCTGTCATAAGTTATTTTATATAATATTTCCATATTCATAAATTGTACCTTTACTAAGAGAGCTTCAACTTAAGTACAGTCTGATTTGAAAGAACCTGAAAATTCTCTGCCCATTTCCTCCTCTTCCTTTTCCTATCATTTTCATGGGGCGTTACTCGCTGTTCATTGTGTTTATCCGTCCCTGGTAATGCTTGCTTTCTCTTGTTTCTGCCCATGAAGTCCACATGCTAAAATCTTGCCCATATTCCTGCTGCTTCCTAATAAAAGCTCTTCCTTTCACTATACCTTCTTAAGTCTCACCCATGGAAAGGTCATCTATTTTCCCTATGAACATTTATTACAGCTTTTAAGATCTTCTTAGGGTGGTATACATATTTTTTAAACTCTTCTAAGCACTTGAAGATAAAACCCTGTCCACAGTTTCCTGCACCTGGCAGATAATGAACACAGCTGGCTTACTGGCAGCCCACAGCCCATTATGGGTGGCTCTGAACTTTTTAAACCATCTTAATAATTAGGACACATTAAAAAATCTTTCAACATATGACCCCAAAATTTTGTAAGTAATAATTTTATCACTTGGGTTATCTTTGTTCTGTAGAAAGGTTTTTTTGGTATACTAAAATTATGTGATAATACTTTAAAAACCCATTTTATTCTGCCCTTCTGCATCAAAATGAGCAAATTCTAACAAGTGCACAATTTCTTCAGAAGAAGACCATTCTAAAAACTTTCATTATAGTAGAGCAAAACTAAAGAACCTTTGGGAATTCTAATTCTTGTAACTTCATACTTAAAATGCTATAACCATGGAGTCTTTAGCTTTGTTTAAATGTCTGGAAGCTTTGAGTGACTAAATACAGGCATCAATAGGGAGGGTTCTTTTCTATTTCATCAAACACTATGATAAGGTCTCATAACAAAGTGTCATTTTGAAATCTCAGGTCTTATTTAAATTCTAATTTTAGGCCAGTGAATAAAAAACTACTGAATGGAAAACATTTTATTTTCTTATTCTACAAAAACAGCAAAAACCATTTTGTCTTTTTAAAAAATCAAAGCCCTTTAAACCTAGCACAGACCTTTGACGTTATCCCCCTACTTTTACAGATGAGTCCAGGGCCACACAGGTAAGACCAGGGCCCAGGTCTCCTGGAACAATCCCAAGCTCTTTCAGTTGTCAGGTGTCAGAAGCTTTTCTATTTGAAGGGAGGCACATAAACATGCAAGACTGAAAACAAATTTCTTAAAAGTCCCATGATTTATCTTAAATTTCAAATTCTGGGAAGATAATGAAAATCAATCATCTTTGCCTTTCTTGTCAGTACTACTATCCTTATTTTACAGATGAAGAAACGAAGGGTCAGAGAGAGACCATGACTTGCTGGGAAATGATGGACTTACACCAAGTTATTTGTCTTCAGGGCCTGTGACTTCTACCACTGTAATGAGAGTGTAGATTCATGAGAGCCAATGCCCAGGCATCCATGAGGAGAGAAGAGAGTGGGGATTGAAAGATGGGGAGATGATATTCCCAAAATAACATGAGAAGCTTTTCTGAACTGAAGAAAGATCCAGTACCAGAGATCAAAGTTGGTTCAACACTTGCTGGACAGGATTACCAAGAAAGTTCTGCTCCACCAAGATAAGGAAAATATAACAAACATTTTCACACCAAACAACCTAGCAACAAAATACATGGAACAATATCTTAGGAATATTTCTTTAAGAAAACATGGGGAATTATGAGGATAAGTGAAGAAAAAAATACATAGGTCCCAGATATCTCCATTAGAAAGAAAATCAGAATGGACATTAGACTTACTGGAAACACTGAATGATGGAAGTCAGAGGAGCCATATCCAACCGAGTTGTCAAACAGATGTTCTAGCAAATGTGAGTTCTGACGTGTAAGGATTTTGAAAGTAAAATTTATTCTTTTTATTTAAAAAATTACAAATAACCCATAGAAGCAAAAATGGAATTGATATGGACAGCTCAAGAACACAGAAGATAAATAATGAAGTAGTAAACAATAATGCTAATAACTCTTGGTTAAATCTAAAGTATTGATCCCATTTGCTAGTGAATAAGTATTTTTTGAAAGAGATAAATTCTAATGTAATGCAGAATACCCTCCAGTGAGTGTTTAATGTTCATAAAAGTGGCTAGGGCTTACATATCAAGGGCTGATCACATACAATCACCAATAAAAAAAGGAGTAAAATAACTGGGGAGGCTTCTACATGGAGCCATGTAACAAAGTGCTATGGAGTGAGATTTGGAAAATCTCGTATGGTTAGGAAACAATAAGTACTGAAGAAGCTCAACTTTCTAAGGAAAACTGAAGAGACCCCCAAAGTCTTGCTGTTAGG